CGTCTTATTTTACCAGGGAAACTCCTAATTGTAATAATAATACAAAGAAAAAGAAGCAATAAATTTTAATACTTAAATTAATCATCGATATCAACAACCTTTCCTTAATCATTTATGTTTTTTTTTTCTTTTTTTTTTTGTTCAATGTGGTCTTCCAACAAATGTTATTGGCTTTACAAACAGTATGACTTTCATGAAGAATTTTATAATTTAATTTGAATTTGTTAATTGCTGCTTTATACAATGGTCAAGGACATTGAGGGAAAGTGCAGTGCACAAGAACCATAACGCCATCTTGACTAATTACAAAGTTATTGCCCTTTGTTACTTTTCATTGTCCGGAGCATAACTTGAAAAGTACTGGTTGGAATTCAAAACAACTTCATATTAATATGGTCAAGCACAATAGGGGAAAGTGCACTGCACAAGAACCACAACTCTATGAAAAGTAATTACATAGTTATTGCCCTTTGTTATTTTCCATTGCTTTTTTCTGTCCGAAAAATAACCTGAAGACTTATGGTTGGAATTAAAAACAACTTCATACAATGGTCAAGCACATTGAGAGGAAGTGCACTGCACAAGAACCTTAATTCCATCTTGACTAATTACAGAGTTATTCCCCTTTGTTACTTTCCCTTGTCCGGAGTATAACTTGAAAACAACTGGTTGGAATTCAAAACAACTTCGTACAAAGGTCAAGCACAATAAGGGGAAGTGAAGTGCACAAGAACTATAACTCTGTCTAGTGTATTTATAGAGTTATTGCCCTTTGTTTCTTCTCCATTGCTTTATTCTTGTCCAGAGCATAACTTGAAAACTACTAGTTGTAATTCAATACAATTGCATGCAATGATCAAGTATATTGAGAGATAGCGAAGTGCAGAGAACCCATAACTCTTTTTTGACATATTTAAGAGTTTTTGCCCTTTGTTATATATAAAAAAGTCTTCGTCCGTCCTTCCGTCCGATATTTTTGTACAGAGCATATCTAAAAAAGTATTTGAGGAATCAACTTTAAACTTCATAGGTGGATAGATCTCATTGAAGAGGAGTGCAGTGCACAGGAATTGAGTGATTGCCCTTTGTTATTTTTCAAAATTAATTTTTTGTCCAGAGCATAACTAAAAAACCTTTGAGATATCAACATGAAACTTCATAGGTGGATAGATCTCATTGAGGAGTGCAGTGCACAAGTTTTGAGTAATTACCCTTTGTTATTTTTCAAAATTTATTTTTTGTCATTTGTGGAGGAGGAATGCTGTGCGCAAGAATAATAACTCTTAAATAATTTTGAGTAATTTCCCTTTGTTCTTTTTCATACTATTTTGTCTGGAGCTTATCTCAAAAGGTATTTGCGGTATTAACTTGAAGCTTCATAGGTGGATAGATCTTATTGAGGAGGAGTGCAGCACACAAGAATGATAACTCTTCCCTGCATATTTTATAGGTATGCCCTTTGTTATTTTTAAAATTAATTTTTGTCCAGAGCATTACTGAAAAAAGCCTTTGAGATATCAACATGAAACTTCATAGGTGCATTGATCTCACTGAGGAGGTGTTCAGTGCAAGAGAATGATAACTCTACCTTTCATAATTTTCAATTTATTGCCTTTTGTTATTTTTCATACTTAATTTTTCACCAGAGTGGAGCATAACTCAAACTATTTTGTCTGGAGCTTATCTCAAAAAGTATTTGAGGTATCAACTTGAAACTTCATAGGTGGATAGATCTCATTGAGGAGAAGTACAGCACACAAGAATGATAACATCCCATGCATTATTTTTCAGTTATTGCCCTTTGATATTTTCAGCCATCAGTATTCACATAGGTTTCAAATCTGTAATTACTTAAGCCATCAGTTTTCATTTCCAAAAGACATCTTAAAATTGAATTATTCTGCTCTACTACATACATATTCTTACAATGAGCAAACACATTCGGCGGGGGATGGCCATGTTGACATGGCTCTTGTTACTTTTTATTATCCATTGCATAACTTGAAAATTAATGGTTGGAATTCAAAGAAACTTTATACAATAGTCAAGGGCAGTGAGATGAAGTGCAGTGCACAAGAACCATAACTCTATTCGGACTAATTGCATTTATTGCCCTTTGTTTTTTTGTCCAATGCATAACTTGAAAGCTAGAAGTTTGAATTCAATACAACTTCATACAGTGGTCAAGCGCATTGAGACTAAGTGCAGCGTACAATAACCATAACTCCCCCTTCAGTATTTGAAGAGTAATTGCCCTTTGTTCCTTTTCCTTGTCAGGTGCATAACTTAAAAACTGATGTTTAGAATTCAATGAAACTTCATTCAATGGCCAAGCGCAATGAGAGGAAGTGCAATGCTCTAAAAGCGTGTCTCTTTTTGGACTTATTACAGAGTAATTCAATCAATCTTAATCAATGGTAAACCACAACCATAACTCTATTTCAGTTCTTTTGCAAGGTATTCTGTTACTTGTAACTTCCTCATTTCCGAAGTAGTCTTGCGGGGGTATTAATCACATTTAGTGATATATAAGTAAGTCTGTCCTTATTATGTGCTTTTATCAACCTAAACTTTTTAGGAGAGCTGCTTTCGGTCCTAGGTTCAATACTCTCCTGTTTCACAACATAGTCATATGATGGGGACAGTAATATATATTCGTGTGAATAGTCTTTATGAGGCCCGTCTTATTTCTTCGCTAAACTCTTCTTCGTTTGGGGTACTCCTGGGTTCTTTGCCACTGGCTCTTGTTACTGTGTCGGGTGGGGGTTGCGTTCATTGAACGCCGCCTTTCCTTGTTGATCTTGTTTATCATATATCATATTCTATACACAGATATATCAGGATTTGGTGTGGCAAAGACCTTTAGGTTTCCTTATCCCAATAATTTGAAAACTTGTAAGTCCCAATTCACTCTAACTTTCAGAAACATCACCTTATCTGCTACAACCAGCCAAATTTTTCTCATTTGCTGATCGTAAATGGTCTTCTCCTCATGAATGATGCCACATAAAAATGCGACCTTGATCACTATGCACTTGCGCTGGGAAACCATAGAATTGAGAATATCCCTCATAATGTACTATCGCTGTGTTAACTGTATTTTGGTTATTGCATGGAATAGCTTGTGCGAAACGTGTCAAATGTCTGTTTGGTTTTACAGCACATCAATACAGTACAGGTCATATGGCACCGGAACAGAAAAGATGATTTTGGCTTACCTTGGTGTTACAAACTTAAAAGCAACATCAAAACCACCGTATCTGCAGCAGCTTAAAGATGAATTAATAATTGTTTGAGCCCATTAAGTCGGCTCCAACGAGCACGAAGGGATAATGGTGTTGCCCTAATTATACCTAAACCATTAAAGACAACCCCTCAGCTACAAGGGTTTTTATCCATATACCTAACATAAAATATGTCTGAAACACTCTTTGTTAGGGCTAAAAATTGTAATTTATGCCGAAGGTAGTTACGTTTACCTGATATGGGGCTACGACTAGCGTAAGCCATAACTTATTCTTTACCATCGTGTCTCTTATAAAGGATTGCACAAATGCTATAAGTAAATTGGAATTCCGAAGAAACTTCAAAAAAAAAAAATGTTGCAGACTAGATTTGATTGAGACCGTTGTATGGCCTGTAGTAATTCATGCAAGCTACAGTCCACACCTTCCCCTCCTCCATAATTGGCCAGGCAGGAATAATGTCACCCATAATCTTTCAGTATGTCCGTTTGTATGTCCGTCCTTCACAAAACCTGTCCGGACAACTTCTCAAAAACAAATGGTGCAATTTCATTCAAAATTTACAGGATTTATCAGTACCAAGTCCAGTTGAGCAAATTGTCGGCATTGTCCTGCCCAATGATTTTGTAAGAGATAAAACTCTTACATGATTTTTTATTCTAAAGTTTGTAGAGACTACTTCTCTTATACCACTTATGCAATTTCAATAAAACTTAAGAGATTGATTTGTTGCTCAGTACATGCGCTTATTACGCGTAGTTTTACGGTTGAAACGAGCATTGGCCGAAGTATGGCCCTTCAATAAAAATGTGTTTGTGTGTGGAAAGCTACACAGAAGCTTGTCGTGACTACTCCTCAGAAACTACTGGTGCATTTTAATCTAAACTTAACAGAAATGATCAATACTAGTCGTATTATGCATATTAAAGGCTTTTCTTGGTTCAATGATTTTTGTCAATGAGTAGTGACCCTTTAATGATTTTATTTTCTAAAGATTGTCCGGACTACTCCTCTTATACCACTGATGCAATTTCAATGCAACTTTATAAGATTGATTTATAACTCAAACGCTTGCGCAAATTACAAGGGTTTCCCGCTGGAAGGATTGTTTGGCCGAGTCATGGCCCTTGAATAAAAAGTGTTAATAAAATTTGTCCGGATTACTCCTCTTATACCACTAACACAATTTCAGTGAAACATTATATATGGTCGATCTGTAGCTCAAGTACTTTCTTATATTACATTAATTTTCCGGTTGAATAATTATGGCTTAATTGTGTGTCATATTATGTATACATTCCTTTCATTCCTTTTTGTTCTTGCATTCTTTTTGCATAATTATTGAGATTTTACCACTTGATGTTTTTTTTTCAAACTAGTTACTGCATTTTTTTATAATTTTTTGATATAATTATTAGATTTTGATAAACCTACATTTTTATTACAGACATGCTAACTACTCGAAGGAAGCTACATGATGTACTATTGACACTCAATTATTTGTCACATTAATAAGTACAATAAGACAAAAAAAAAACTATCAATTTGTCTTTATGTCTAAATTATTTGACACCGCTCTATTTTAAGGTTTCTTTAATCATAATACTGAGCAATGGAAAATAATACTAACAAGCTTTAATTATTTGATTATTTATGCATTCAGTTGGGGACTTTTTTGCACCTTTCGATAAATAAACGTTTTGTTTTTAGAAATACAAATGAGTTTGAATGCCAATAATCTTTTTTTTTAGAAAAATGGGCGTTGATATTCAAACATACAGATCAAGAATTGGCACATACAAGCATTCTCGATGTGGTAAAACTAATGAAAATTTCAGACACTCCAGGGGTAGTGATGTGGCAGTACTTGTCAAGAACATAATAGTTAGCAATGACATTCCAACTGTTGGCTGTGTGCTCTTCATTGGCGTTCTTTTAATGATTGCTGGTGTTGAACCTAATCCAGGTCCAATGGAAAAGGGTAATTACGCATGCAACAACTCCAACCCACACGCACACATACACACTTTTGACATATACCATTATTTTATGAGTTTGCATTATTTATTATTTTTAGAATATTGTTCGATGCAAAAGTATCCTATATTCGATTGAATTGTCATATGTAATACATTTTCTGGACTACGCTTATATGTATCATGTCAACTTTGGTCTAACACTTTTTATCTACTTTTATGCTCCCCGACAAATTTCGGGGGAGCATATAGTCGCCGGGTTGTCCGTCCGTCCGTCAGTCCGTACAAACCAGAGCTACATTATGGGGTTTGGTCTATTGTTCTCATAACAATAGATGTCTTTGATGTCATTCATTCCGTTTCTCTTGTGGGTTTATTTTTTTGCATTGTGGGGTTAAAAAGAACAAATGAAATAACAAAAGAAAACCCCATAATGTAGCTCTGGTAAGAATGTCCTTCCGTCCCAAATTCGTGTCCGGCCCATAACTTTGTTATTTGAAGTCGGATTTTAAAACTATTTTACAGAAATGATCAACATATTGAGACGACGTGTCGCGCGCAACATTTAGGTCACTACCTTGAAGGTCAAGGTCACAGCATGACCTTGCAGCAAAATCGTGTCCGGTCCATAACTTTGTTATTTTGAAGTCGGATTTTTAAAACTATTTCACAGAAATGATCACCATATTGAGACAACGTGTCGTGCGCAACATTGGGTCGCTACCTCGAAGGTCAATGTCACAGCATGATTTTGCAGCAAAATCGTGTCCGGCACATAACTTCGTTATTTGAAGTCGGATTTTAAAACTATCTCACAGAAATGATCACCATATTGAGGCGACGTGTCGTGCGCAACATTTGGGTCGTTACCTTGAAGGTCAATGTTACAGCATGACCTTACAGCAAAATCCTGTCCGGCCCATAACTTTGTTACTTGAAGTCAGATTTAACAACTATTTCACAGAGATGACCACCATATTTGATCGACGTTTCGCATGCAACATTTGGGTCGCTACCTTGAAGGTCAAGGTCACAGCATGACCTTGCAGCAAAAGCGTGTCCAGCCCAAAACCTCGTTATTTGAAGTCGGAGTTTACAACTATTTTACAGAAATGATCACCATATTGAGACAATGTGTCGCGCGCAACATTTTGGTTGTTTTTACACTTTGAACTTTGTCTGTGACATAACTCTGACACTACAAGAGGTGTACCTTCCTGTGTCCAAAACCTATTCGGGGAGCATCACCCGGTTCAACCGGCTCTTGTTTCTGTATTTTATATTTTCAATTACCGGTATTCTTCTAAAAGGAAATTAAATAACATGTTAATATAACATTATGCTAAACAGGCTTTTTAGTCGTCATATATTTATATATGTTTTATAACGCATGTTTTTAACGCAGTGCTTGTATTCAGCAATTGATACCCCCCGTAAATGCTAAGAGGTTTGAGAACTGGTTTCTCCGCGATATTACCCAGCAACTGAAAATAATCAGAAAACGTTATCAGCGGAAGTCTCCGGACTACATGAACGGCATATTAATATAACACATAAGTGTTTACATTAATTACAGTGAAATCGGAACGCACGTGTGTGATATTTTCGTTACGACGCCCGATTCGAATAAAGTACTTCTTCGAATAACGTACTTCGCAATTCAACTTTTCAAAACAAATGTATTCTATTGAAATGAAGGGGCTTCCTTAGCCGCGTGATAATGTCGTTGCATACAAACCACTCATCCCTCACCGCTGTTGGTTCGAATCCCGACAGGGATGTTAGATTCTTTCATGTAAGGAAACTATCCAGCTAGCTTACGGACGTCGGTAGTTTCGGTAGCCTCTGAAATATAAATTGGAAATATAAATGACTTCGATTGAACTGTCAGAAGTAAAACATTTTCTAGACTACGCTTATATGTATAACGGCAACTTGTCCGAACACTTTTTTCTATTTTCTGTATTTGCTTTTTCAAGTATTCCTCAAAAACGATATTAAATAAGGTGTTAATATAACATAATGCTGAATAAGCGTTTTATTTGTCATATTTTTATATGTATTCTAGAATGTTGTCTTTTACCCTAATAGGTTTTGACAGTAGCTGTGGCGATGAGGTTCCTGGAGTTGTAAAAGGCGTAAAAAAGAGTGTAGATGGTATTTTTATACATTTAATTTTATATGTCAAATGAATAATGACTTGTTCATTTAACATTTATATATAATGAAACATAGCACATATGCATACAGTATGTTCCATTTAAGCTCACCTGATAATGACGTGCTCATGTCTAGCAATTGTGACCACCCAGTCGACTTTGTCGACGTGCGTTGTGCTGTATGCGTCGTCAACAATTTTTGAACAACATCTGCAATACATACTAATGATTGCATATTTTACTTTATAAAAATGTTCCTTGAATGTTCCCGTTTGCAAAGTTGTTAACTTGTTTCCACTCCGTTGCATTAGTGTTCCACAGCGCCATAAAGTGTTGTATCTGGTATACGATATAGTTTAATATACATCCACTACCAAAGTTATGCAAAGTATGCCTCTTTTTATAAATTTACCTCACCCCGGGTGAAATATGTTTTCCTTATATGTTAGATGTTGACTATTTAGCATGTGTAGTAGATCTCTAGCAAGTTTGCTAATATCAAAAATGAAAGCATTGAATCAAAATTGGCTCTGCTCCAGGGGACACAGTGTTCTAAACTAAATGCGCACAAAATGTGTTGGATAGTCCATTATGACAGTGTGTCGCGACCATGAAACATATCCCTTCAACAAAAGTCAAGCCACACTCTATTCCAAGCACATGATAAAATCTGTTCATTAAAGTGTATTTATGTTTTGTCCGGTCAACAATTCTGCCATGGTTTATAGAGTCATATTTTTGTCAGTTACTTACGGATTGTTCTAAATAATTTAGCTGCTCAATGAAAAAAAATGAGAAAAAAGTTTCTATTGTCTTGAAACACTCTTGATACTAATCATGATTATGATGCAAGTCATGATTCCTCTATTTTGTTCTACTTGGATGATGGGGGCATCTGTCTGTTTTCGACGACATTTATTGTTTGACATAAAACTTTTTTCTACTTTGAATTAACATTATGATCACGACATGAGTCAAGAATTCCTTCGAACAGATAAAGTCATGTGACTTGATAATCTTAACATGCCAAGTATGCCAATTATGTACATATTATTGTGTATCATTTCACTTCAGAGTTAAGATTGGTTCAAGCAGAAAACAAGAAACTGTTATTTGCTTATGTTTGTTTACATTTAATATTATATTAATATATCAAATTAGGCAAAATTTGATCGAAATATCGAAATAATGTGTCAATTCGAGCATTTAAAAATCGGTGAAAATAAATTATCAACAGATAAGTCTAGGACAACATTCTATATTAGATACAGCCCCATTAACTTCGTATCACGCACATTCAAATAAACATAACATTCCCTACCTCATCTACAATGGTAATCTCAAATTCTACATGTCAACAAATTATTCCATCAACTTATTTTCTGATTCTATGGTATGTCTCAATGTAAGCCATATATGCTAACTGATTACTCTAAATGCCACAACAAACCTTACAAAAAAGTAAAGAAAAGCACATAATCATTAATATAGAATGAATAAGTATCATTTTAAATCATGTCCCTTTAATCCGAAAACATATATGGATCATATACATAAATATCTTGCAATACTGAGTATACATTTTCATTAAAGACTCTTTTACATTTGTTAATTGTCCTGTAAAATTAGGACCATTTCACTTACTAATTGTGAAAATGACTATAAGAAGTAAAACAAGTCTTCAAGCAGGTACCTGCATCCTGTAGGGTACTTCAATTTCATGTGATATTCATAGGTCAATCACTCAATAAGCTTGAATATACAGCAGAATTTCAGAGATCCTTCAAAATCTTATTTTAAAGGGCCATGCGAGTTTTACAAAAGATGGTTGTGCTTTCCCAAGATGTAAGCAGGGCTATTTGAATCGTTGAATTACAGCCATATTTTACAGAAATGTTACATAAGATTAAAGGGTACCTATGTATTTATTTAAAGATATATCTTTATTTAAACTATGGGTATTAAAATGCTTAGAGCTTTGAGAACTGGTTTTTCGCGATAGTATACTTCAACTGAAACTTATAAAGGAACGTTATCTGAAAAGGTCACCGGACTTCATGGACGGCCAATAAATATAACATATAATAGTTTACATTAATTATAGTGTCATCGCAATGCACATGTGTGACATTTTCGTTAAGACTCCCGATTCGTAGAACGTCCTACGCTATTCAACGTTTTGAAATATATTCATACTATTGAAATGAAGGGACGTCCTAGCATAACATTTTAGATTGAGTACATTATACCGCTTAGGTATCAAAATTTAACCCCTTTTTAGTGTATATTTGCATACCATACCGTTGGTTATTTCGTCTGTATGGCATGACATTTAATGATAGGGATAAATATAACTGTTCGAAAACTCACATCAAATTGACAGATACCCTTTTCAAGAAACTTAATTGTAGTATGCTTTTGAATTGTACCTTGTTTCTTTGACCAGTGCTTAAATTATATTAGTTTCAGATAAGTCATTTGTTGAGGAACCGCAGGATATACCGCGTATAAGAATTTCCGGTTTAATTGAAAACACAAATAAGGAGATGCTTGCAATGTACTTTGAATATGAAGAGAGAAATGGCGGCGGAAAGGTGAAAAATATTGCAATGGACAAGAAGGGGAAGTTTGCTACGATTGATTTTGAGGAGAAAGCAGGTACTTTTTCAGTAAATCCTGTTTTTGTGTTTTAGGTTTTGTTGGCTTTGACAACTTTTTTATACTTAATAAGTAGATAGTTTAGAAGTTTTGAAATAATTCTAAATAACATGTAAAACAAATACTGTGATGTTTTCAAATAATTTCATGAACTATTAAACTATATCCTGTCCGATAAATCCATACTGATATCAATTACAAGTTTCAGTCAGTGATTTATATCAAGTGATTTTAATTGTTATTTTTGTTTAAATCGGTTTTTCCAGGTGTTGATGCGTTTATGCTTAGAAATCCGAAACGCATATTGGGTATGAATGTGACAGTAGAAGTCTTTGGTAAATATATGAAATAGCTTTATTTTTAAAGTACATACAAGTGAATTGTGGAACTGCTTTTTTACAACAAAATTAAGATATATATACACACACAGAGGCACTTATAACCCAACACTTTTTCTGTATAAAAATGTTATTCGTGAACGGATTTTGTTCAAAATAGGATGTGTGATGGAAGTGTGATGTTTAGATCTGGTGACTTAGGATGCAGGGTTACACGTTGTTATACCCATGGGAAGACACACAAAGTATAAGAACTGGTTAACATACAGATTTTGTGGGATTCAGAGACTTTCATTTTGTTACGATATTATTTATTCCTTTATTTTTCATTTTGCAGATGCATATTTGTTTTGTAATTTTCTCTATTTTCTTGTTAATGAATTGTAGATGAAATTTTAAGAAATAAATATGATAATTATGTTGAATTTTGTATGTTCAAAAGTTGAAGAAAATCAGAGATGACCAATTTATACCGCAAATGTGAATGTCGGGTTATAAGTGCCTCTGAGTGTATGTAAAGAAATTTCAAATTTGGTAGTAAATCACAATATTTTTTAACTGTATCTGCTTAAGCTTACATTCTGTATTTCTATCATAAAAGTAAGTATTTATATTTTTTTCGGAAAGAATTTTGATAGTTTATAACATTAATCACATAATGTTCTTTCTTTAAAAAAGATAAAATAAAATTTACAAATAAAACAATAAAATAGATTGATAGTTAAATTGCATTGACTAGATATTAAAGAAGTATGGTACAAGTAAATCCTTGAACAAATGTATAATTAGTGTGGTGCGGTGTCAATATGATATATAATCATGCCTATAACAGCTGGTATCTAGTTAACCCTTAATATTAAGCTAGTAATATAATAAAAGGATGGCAGTTGTTGGCACTTTCATGCATTTATTTCCCGTTATGATCTTTTATTTAATGAAAAACTTAACTAGTTACGTAACCAGTTTACCTGATAACTTACTAGTTAATTAAGAGGTTAACTAGTTACGTAACTAGTTAACCTGTTAACTAACTAGTTGATTATCAGGTAATCTGGTGGCAGAAATATAACACCATAGTTGTTCTAAATTAAAAATAAAATTGTTTTGCAAATTGACAAAAACATATGACTCATCGTTTGATAAAATATAAAGAATTATGTATACCAGAAAGTTTGCCAATCGCAATTTCGGGAAATGGTTTATTTGATATTGTTAATGAGTAATAATCTCTTTTAATTATGTCTATCCTCTAGTCTCAATTTTTATTATTTTGATTTATTTATTTTTGTTTTGAATATTTTATGTGTACTATTTTCTTTCTTCAATTTAAACATCATTTCTATGCCTCTCTTTGCCAAAGCCACCTGTTTCTAAGGACCACAATTGAATAAGAGATTTAGTTGTCTTTCTTGTGTTATCATTGGTATGATGTTTTGATATGGTGTAATTGTTTTTATCATGTATTGGATATTTTTCTATGTAATTCTATAATACTGAAATAAATCTATCTATCTATACACCTGAAAATCAGTTAAGCATACACCGGAAATTTAAAATTGGTTGTGATTGAAAGCACTGTCATGAGATGGCGACTTAATTAAACTAGGGAATAGCAAATTGAAAATTAGCGATACCAATTTAGTAATCATAACCCAGTAAATTAATGAGTTAAGTTTACTCTTAATCAAATTATTGAAGCATGAGCAAATATGTTGTTTTTACCAAAAAATGTAAGTATGATGTTGGAGCATTTACAAAAATTTACATTTACTAGTGGATATGTTTGGTAAATGTTGACGAATAGTAACTGTAACTGACATTATGTAGCCACATGTTTAATAACAAGTGTAACCGCCACGTGGCCGAATTTAAGCCTCAACCATTCTCCTCTATGCGACCTTGAAATGAATAATGCCCTCAGGGTCATTATTCAATTTGCAGGCCGATTAGCACCTTCTGGTCCTACTCTGCTGTGTAATAATCTCTTTTTATTTCATGCTTTCCAGTGTTTTTTTTGTAATATATCAGATGATTATATTCTGATAAACCACTAGTGAAATTTATAAAATATAATTTTCACTGTAGCCGGACTATATCTGAATGTGGATGAAAAGAAAATTAAACTAAATGGAATAACAGACTGAAATAAGTGCCGTCATACGTAAATTTTGCTTCTTAAGGAAAAGAAAGTCGATGTCACCATACATCATGTTAGAAATGAAGCAAAATTAGAGAAATTTAACTATATTTCAAAATTGATAATGTGACGTCATGATGTGATGACGTCACGATGGAGAATGCGCGACGTTACACGGCAAAATCAGTAAAAAATACTTAAAATCACTTAAAAAGCATGAAATAAAAAGAAAATTTATTTGTTTTACATATAAGATTGAAATATATTTCATTCGTGAACACCAGCTATTATATTTTCACTCGAAAGGTTTAAAGTTACTCGTCATAAATGATCAAAGCCATCGCAAATCTGCATTGATCCCAACGGTCAAGGTATCTTATAGAAATAAAATGCTCTAGTTCTAACCGTTACACATTTTGGGAGATTATAAATTCAATAAAATGATTACTACTATGACACTACGTATCCATAATATGCATGCTGAAACAGTTCGTATTTACTTTATGTCAAAGGCTAGAAAATCAAAAGAAAAGACCGCAGCAACAGGGGATATACAGTATGTCCTTCAGCCCTTGTTATAGTAATGTGAGGGAACACTTAAGTATTACATGTATTAACAAAAAATAGCAAGACAAATATATCCATTAGGGTTAATACATAAAGTTTTATGAAAAGCAACGTATGATTCTAGCTTATTATTCCAATATTTCATCCAAAATAACAACTCCTTTTTTTTAAAATACTTTCTTTTATTCCAGCACTTCCTGTACAGTCAAATGATATTGGGGAACTCGTTACTAGTACAAGTGAGTTGCTTAAATAATTCATGTTTTCTGAGGTATAATTATGTTCTGACACGCCTATCTAAGACTGTTATGAAAGCGTTTTGTACATACTTTACATTGTTACTCCAAACTTTTCACTATTTGAATAAATCCTTCAATTTCAAACTTGAGGTGGCGCTATGATGTTTACGTAAATAAAACATTTCTTAGAAAAAATGAAAACAAGTAATTAAATACTGATTTAATTTTTACGATCTTATACTAAACATCTCCTGTTGGTTAAAGTGACATTGTTTCCAAGTTTTATGATAGTTCAATAATAATTATTCTTATAATACAGATATGTTATAAAGTAGATTCTTTTACACCTCTTTATTGAAATAGACATACCATGCTTGATAAGAGGATTTGAATTGATTGACCAATTTACATTCCTTGTTTTATTCACACTCATTATCAATCATTCATTGAATAGAAAAGGAAGAGTTTCGTACCTTATTGTTTTATAATAGCTCTAAGGATTATCAGAAATGAGTATTTTAAAGATATCACCAACTGTGACATGCTTTATCATTTTATGATAGAACACAAGAAAAACCCAACAAAGTTAATTATAATTTTATTTATACATGTATAAAACAAATATAATGAATACGAAATAGTGAATTAATGCATGATTCTCGTTTATTATTACAATTTGTGCCTTTGCCATCGTTTGAATTCATGTACATATTTTGTTCTTGTTACTTTTCAGCACGGTATGAACCAATCATTGATGTTGGAGAACTCGCCACAAGCACAAGAAGTAACTAACCCTTTTCAAATTAAAGTCCAGATGATCAGTTTGACATATATATGAGTGATTTAGTTCCCATATAATTATAAAGAAGCTACTAATTAATAACAAATATCTAAACAATATCAGTTTTTATCACAATACATGATTTACACAGGTTACTGAAAAAAATGACTTCAGATAACTTTTAGATATAAGTCTTTCCATTATTGTAAACTTATTTCGGTTCTACAGTAAACCACTTGATAGAAAGCCTTTACAAGCCCTTAATTATTTAATTGTTCCATTGTATTATAATTTACTGTTAGTCTACTCTTATCGCTAAAACGCAAGCAAGGTTACATTGTTTCCTTACTAAACCCCTATACCAATAGTGATGAAACTATACAGGCATGATCTTTGGATGGTACCTCAAAAATTGCTCAAAAAGGATCCGGTCTGCTGAACAAGATGGCGGTCAGAGTTCAAAATAAATGATGAGTCTTCCTTATAGTTTTAAGTAGATTTTGATGCAGCTATACAGGACTGAAAGATATGCCTTCTTGAAGAAATGCTCAGTGATTCCGGTCTGTTGAACATGAAGGCAAACAGTGCTATAAAATAGAAACATGTGTTAAATGACATCTTGTCCTCAACCGTCCAATAGATTTTGATTGGAGTCAACATTAATGATCATTGGTCAGTCCTAGACTAAAATTGCTTAAATTTATTCGGTCTGCTAGAAAAGATGGCCTTGGAAGCTAGAAATAGAAAAAAATAAAACGAGACCTTCTGCTTAATCATGAAGTAAATTTTGATAAATCTCTACACGAATGATCTTTTGAAAGTTTCTTTACAAAATTGTTCAATGAATCCGGACTGGGAAATAAGATGGCCACCAGAAAACAAATCAGAAAAAAAGTGTCAATCATTTTTACTATTAAGTAGATTTTGATGACATTTTAATAAATAGGAATGATCCTTAGAATGTATCTGTAATAATTGGCTGAATGGTTCCGGTGTGCTAAGCAAGATATCCTTTTGAGCTTAAACAGAAAAACTAACGTTGTGTCCTCACCTGCCAGCTACATTTTGATATAACTCTGTAGAAATTAATTTTTGACAGGCCTATACGACATTTGCCAAAATAATACCGATTTGCTGAATAAAGTTGCTACCAAAGCTAAAAAAGGAAAGACAAAACCTTTAAATACCTCCCCTTTTACTATCAGGTATATTTTGATTATTACAATCAAAGGATTATAACTGTTCGGAGTCTTCAATTCTGAGTACGTAGCATAAGGACATGTTAAATATTTTCAAAAACTTTCACACTTTTGATTGTTATAATGGTTAAATATCTAATAGAGATACCTTCTATTTCACATTTACTTCAATTCTGTGACTTAAGTTACATTATAATAATAAACTCAACATGATAAATAGAGTATTGTGCAATGTGAATTCTAAGTTCACTCAATAATCCTCGAGTATCTAATATATAGGCTTGAACCAAGTCAAACAAAATACGCTGTAAATCGATTTGCATGGTTAAGTAAGAATATTCATGTTAGCCAGTGTTTAAAGATGAATCTTTACAATTAATTCACAAATTTCATCTATATACAGATGTTTTTGCACACAATTGTCAAGACTATTTGACATTTGAATTTATATGTCCGAAAACACGGCCATATAACATCTGAGGTAACGTTTTAATAATTGTTCCTTTCAAATTTAATAGTAATAGCCAAATAAACGTAGGTAGGTAGCGTTCATAACTGTCGGAAGTATGAGCAGATACTTTAGGGTGAACCATAGGTTTTTTTAAACATTCTATTTATAATAAGGTTTTAACATATGGTATTTGAATATAAAATCTGAGCTTAAGATAGCAATACACCTGCAGGAATTAGTACCTAGAGTGCCAATGTCTATTATAAGCGTATTATTAAAGCGTATTAGCGTGAAATTAACTTGAGAAAATATGATTTTCAAAGGTTTTAGCAAGCCAAATGCATTTTTTAACCGTAATGAATAATTTAATTAACTAACAATTAAGCACGTAAAGTTGAACACTAATTAAAATGCCTAAATTTTTAATTAGTGTGTCTTTGATATTAAGACAAATGTTGGTCTTTACAGGGGACATAGGCCAATCATTATAAGTTGTTGTATTTGATTTTCGAACAGCAATATTCAGTTTATAAGTTCGTTAAACTAGAATACGCCATCTCCTTTCAAAAGACAAATCAGTAGTTTCGTATTTCTTTTATTTATTTTTTAACGTGAATGCTAAATTCTTTTTTCTAAGCAGCCACTTCTGTTGCACCTGCAGAAACAGAAACTGATTCTTCACACAACAATGGTAAATATATGTTATTTTCTATTATTGAGACAGAACCAAAAATTAACTTAGAAATACGAGTTTTCAAATATGAAGGCGTCTAGAACGCTTTTTTGTTCAATATTGCAGAAAATACAAAGAAATAAAGTTATCTTGTTATATATTCTCGTTAGCCTTACATTGATAGCTCATTCACAAAAATCCGTTATTTATACCCACAAAAATGAAGTTGGAAGTATATAGGCGTCAGCTTGTCGGTCAATTGGTCGGATGTGCGTCCGTCCTTATGTTGGTCGGTCTTTGTTGGTCAGTCAATCGGTTCACTTCAAGGTGTCCGGACGATAGCTAGAAATGGTTTCCTCTATATGAATTCAAAATCTTACTGTTTTTAACATACGGAATTCACGAATTAATGAACTTAGCTTCATGGACTCCCGATTTCCTCTTCACGAATTCACAAATCTACTTTACGACCTCACGATTTCAACGTCTTGAATTCACGATTTCAAATTCACGAATTCACAATATCAATTTTGTGAGTTCCCGTTTTCAACAAACGGAATTCACGAATTCACGATTTCAACTTTATGAATTCACGATTTCATCTTCACGAATTTACAATTCTTATTAAATTCACGATTTCAACATCACGGATTCAACAAAGTTTTAAGCACGCCAAAGTTATTTTCTAGTGATTTAAAAGATAAAACTCGATAACCGTTATAAATAACTAAAATAACTAACGATTGAGCATGTATATTGCCATCAATACGTATGCTGCATTTTAAAGATTAGCCCTTTGCGCCATACCCTATCAAAAGTTAAAAAAACGGTGGAATGACCCGGTAAAAACCCAGACCGATGATGATATATAAGATTGTTTAGATTTGATTATAACGTGTTTAAAACAATTCCCTCAAATACTTTGCTTACACAACTTATAAGAGAAATTGGTGTATAATTCATAGGCATGTGTTTACTGCCTTTTTCCATGAATTGAGGTAAATATCTTCGACTACTGATCTGTTTAATAAAATGAATAGTGGAGCACAGACAGGATATCTTGTTTCTTTTAGCATTTTATGTCTAATTTAATCAAGTCCACTTGCTTTATTTGATATTAACGTTATTAAGATATCACTTATTTCCTGATCGATTATTTGTAAACTTAAAAAGGTTTCATTACTTTTAGAAAAAAATGGTAAGGACGAATGAGTGTCGTCTACAGTTAAGTCTGAAACAAAATAATCGTTTAGACAATTTGCTTTTTTAAGATCGGTGAAGAAGTAAATTTGTTAGGCGAGTATTCTGAATACTTTCACAACCTTTGTTTTCTTTGATTAACATTTTTACGGTTTTCCAATATTGCCTAGGGCTATTACAATAAGGATCAGATATAGAAAAGTCTAAGTTTTTAAAAATAAATTTATTAAACCTTACAAATTCCGCTTGTATAGTTTCTTATATGGTGTAGATGGTAAACTCTAAATCTAATAAATGCGTACGTTCCAAAATGATCACTTATTTCTTTTTGAGTAAATCAATACATTCTTGACGTTAAAACAGAGAAATTATTTAAAATTTCTATTGGATCTAACAGTGTTGATGTTCGAGCAGTAACACGTGTTGGATCAGTAATGATATTACGCATACCATTTAAAGGGATACTCGGGCATATTAATGACAACTATATTAAAATGATTATATGTACTCAAATCACGCTAAAATGAAATTTTAGTCCCAGCATGAATTTCTGTTTAATTTCTATATATTTTGTGTTTGAATCGTGAATGTATCTAAATATGTTGAACGAAATTAAGTCGCAGACAGACTCACCGAATGATTTTAAAACAAGTCGTGTGACTTTAATTAACTCTTGATATTACAATAACAGATACTGTGGATATTTTATGATTGAACAAGTGTAAGTCATTCGTTTTGCATGTACTTTAACGT